GGGGGGAGGTTGGGTGGGGGTGTTGGCAGGCACTAAGCTGCTTGGCACTCTGTAGTTCAGGCAGCAGAGCACGTGTCTTGCAGCAAATCAACCAGCACATTTAACTAGCAGACATGCAGAGTTGCAAACAGTGCAAAGCAGGCACAAGACTAAAGAAACAGAGAATTTTTTTTGAAAAAACTTCAAAAAAGTATGATTAACTTCGAACTTTGAACTTTGGATCTAGTAATTTAAGTTCATAACTTCATATATAACTTAAAAGTTCGAACTTTGCAGTTCAATTCAGAACATCAGAGTCTTCAGACTGGCAACACTGTCAGTGCTCTCTCTCTCTCTCTCTCTCTCTCTCTCTCTCTCTCTCTCTCTCTCCCCAACGGGCAGCAGCGGCGGGCACCATGTCGAAACGGCCACTTTGAAATTGCTCGGGCCTGTGCGAAACCCGCCACCTCAAAAACCAGCAGTGTCTTGTGTCTGGACCTCTAGGCCATGTCCGGTGGGGTGAAAGGACACTTAAAAATCACCCCCGTTATTTTTCAAGGGGCGGCTAGGACCCGGCAAACGTCCTGGGCCGCCCCATTTTTTTTTTTGATTTTTGCCCCAGGGGCCTCCATCCGGACATGGGGACCAGACACCGGACACCGGACACCGGACTGTCTGGAACCCGGTCCGGACGTCCGGGCGGTTGCAATGGAATTTTTCGAATCTTTATTTTCGTTTTCGGAATCTTTAGGTTTGCTGGGCTGGTTCGGGTTTTTCCATTCCCGTTTGGTAGACGGGAAATGGGGGAAGTGCATCAGCCCAGACCCAAGTGGTAGCTCGGTGATTTAGCCGTGAAGAAAAAAAAGTTGTTCTAGGAACACAAAGAGGAGTCAACTTTTTGTGCAAATTTCGGGTCGTAGAAAGTCATGAACGAAGGGAGACGTGGACACGACCAGATTCACAGAGGGATGATCGTTAACTCTGGGGGACGAGATAGAGACTGTGAGTCTTGACCGACATAGAACATGGTTTTCCGTTTTTAGATCTTGATCTTGGGATACCCGTGGCTGAACCACGGCTGGGGGAAGAGGATGGAAAAAGAGCACACAGTTAGGATAGCTATATAGATCCGGACTCGGGAGGCAAGGCTTGAGCCTCCCTCTTTCGAGAACGAAGGCTCTTACTGAGTCACCCTCCTGATGATCCTGTGAGGGCGGGTGAAACCAGTTGAGGGATCCTACATGTTGCTCTCTTTGCGGATTCATGCCAGTTGACTTTCATTTTTTGGATTTACGTGTGGTGTATGTTTGATTACGTGGGCGACTCATGACTGCTCGGACCGTTTAGCGGCAGTCCACCTCTCTCTCTCTCTCTCTCTCTCTCTCTCTCTCTCTCTCTCTCTCTCTCTCTCTCTCTCTCTCTCTCCCTTCCTCCTCCTCCTTCTCCTCCTATCCCCCTCCGCATTCTTCTCCTCTTCCCCCTCCTCCTCCACTTTCTCCTCCTCCTCCTCTTTGTCCCCCCCCTGCCCTGCACACTTCTTGTTTGTGTTATTCTTTTTTTTTTCTTTCTTTCTTTTTTCGTGTGTGTGTGTGTGTTATTCTGATTGCAGCCGTGGCCACCTTTTTCTAACTCTGGACATGTATTTCTTTACGCAGATATGCTGCTACTGTCAATTGGGTTGCCATTCCAATTTCACATCCATACATCTGGTTTTCTATTCTACGGGTTTTACTGGACCAGAGTGGATACCTTGAAGCAAACAAGGTGGAGGGGAGGCATGTTTGGGCAGATAATCTTACCGCAGACCTTCCATGGCCTCCTCTAGTTCTTTCTCTGTTGGTACAACAAACTTGCTTACTGGATCGCGTCTTGACTTTGATGGCTGATACATCCCAGTTGACCGGATCACCCGTGCTAGATCAAGCGTGTTACCCTGCCAGCCAGTTTTCAGTCCACAGGAGCCACAGGAAGCCATAAGTCCCCTTTTTTCTTTTTTCCTTTTTCCGAATACAGATGATGAGTTGGAGAACTACAGGGTGTGTTGAACCATTCCATTGGTGAAGAGGATCGATATCCAAGGCAACAAGTGCTCCGGCTGGCTGGTTAGAGAACTGTGCATTCTTTTGATCCATAATTAAACCACCATTCTCCCCAAACCTATTGTTTGTATGACTCTCAAGCTGGCGAACCTGAGATGTCAGGGGCAAGAGACCACATTCTGTTTCACAACAGCTACTTCTCATTGGGATTGCCATCCGATGGCAGAGGTCAGTGGCCTCCTCTAGGCCGCTACCCGTCTACTTCATGCCCCTCTGTATGCAATACTGTTAGGACCTGCCAAACACGGACTGAGACACACAGCTGATTTCTGAGTTTTGCCAATGGAACGCATGCCTTGCTGAGTTTCCCGCTTGTTGCTGAGTTTTCTAAGTCTGAGTGTGTGCATGCTTGCTGGTCTGCGTACCTGTCTGAGTGCTTGTCGGTTTGAGTGTGTGTGAGACCCGCGAGGGTGCTTGTCCGTGTGGAAGGCCCAAAGGGCCGGTACTTACCTGTCGCCATGGCATTGAGGGTTGCAGTGGGGAAAACTGCAATCAGACTCGCATACTTCGTCACTTCACATGCATACAAACAGATGGTGAATCACACTGGCGCCCAGCGCCCAACTCAAAACTCGAAGATATGGAAACCAAGACACAGTTCAGATGCAAGCTCGCTTCAACAGGCTATGGTGCATCAGCACCCACACATCGCAACTCCCGTCACTGTGTCCAACACCACTGTTCACTTCACACTTCAACTCCGGATCACCCTGGATACCCCACGCACACACTCTGCACACACACAAATGCACACCTACTACTAACAATGGCAGCTACGGCCGCCAGCTAACTCTACTCTACAAGCAGCTATGGCTGCGCTAACTCCCTCTAGCCCACTTCGACTTCAGGCTCCTCTGCAGACCACCTCGCACAAGTCACCGTGGCAGCGCTTCCGCATGGCTTCCGCAGGAATGAATCAATGGCTGTGCGCTGCCTCTTGATTTATACTTCTGTAACTCGTTGGTCTGCCCCTTTCCATCGGCCCATGGTACACACAGTCCCCCATGGTACTTGCTGGACTGGACTGGGACTGACTGGACTGTACCGCTGACTGCATGGGGACGCACTGCTAACCTACCGCTATCGTACTGCGAACGTACTGCAGTTGGTCCACCACTTGCCCACTTGCCCACTTGCCCACTTGCCTCAGTCTAAAACGTGAGCAAGCTGCGAAAGGCCACTTCCGGACTTTCCGGAAGTCTGTGGACTTGGCCTTTCGGGACTGTAGCAGCTACGACCTTGACCTCTCAGGACTGTAGCAGCTACGACTTTGACCCTTCAGGACATCTACAGCTACGACTTCTGGAACTCTCTAAGACATCTATTCGACAGGTCTACAGATCGAATCCCTATGTCCACACAGTCCTACAACAGACAAACAACAACTCACGAAACACAGGTCACGGGTTCAAACACTCAAGGGTCAACTCGATACTGTACATGGGTGAGGTAAGGTCTGGGGATCAAACCCCGGGATCTGCATCTGCCTCTGCTAAGGTGAAAACCGTTTCACTCCCGCCGGCCTAAATTCGAGGTCCTCCGAGAATGTCTCAGTCTAAGGCAGGACCTTTACCTTTTCTATCTCTTTTGTAGGCCCTGACTATGTCGGGAGCTGTTTCTAGACGTTCAGTTCTGGTAAACCAGCGGTCGTCTTCCGGTTCCTGATATGCGAATCGAACCTTCTACTGTTTCTGAGGACGACCTCTACCTCCTGTCCTGAATATATCTTCACCTACAATGCCGTCAATGTCGTATCTTCCATCCATATCCGGAGGGATCATGGACCTTCTGGAGGGGAACTGTTGACTTGTGACACACGGCAATAACTTTGATGCGTGAAATACAGGGTAGGTGTGGAGGTGCGCTGGAATCTCTACTGTATAGGACGGCCCATCCTCTCCGCCCTTAACTTCTAGTACTGGCCACGGTCCTCTATACGCGGGCAATAGCTTTTGCGAGATATTCTCCTCAGGAGCAAATTCCTTAGATTTGACCCAGACTAAGTCGCCTACTTGAAACTGTGACGGGCGACGATGCTTATTGGCTTGCTCTGTCATCCTATGCTGGGCCTTCCTGAGGTTCTCTACAACGGTAGCTAACTCCTTCTCGTGCTGTAATGCAAACTCCCTAGTACCGTGCAGTAGCCTATGAATCTGATCCTGGTTAAGTCCCTCAAACGGTCTGCGTGGTCTAAAGGACTTGTGTAACTCGTTGGGAGTGCGACACGTGGACAGGTGCACGCTGTTATTGTAGGCACTGGCTACCTTTGGGAGCATCTCATCCCAGTTAGTCTAATCAGGTCTAATGTACATTCTCAGAACTTTGGGAGCATCTCATCCCAGTTAGTCTAATCAGGTCTAATGTACATTCTCAGAACTTGTTGTAGGAGCTTATTCATTTGCTCAGTCTGACCGTTAGTCTCTAGATGACGGCCAGATGACATCAACAGCTTGGAGCCATATACTCTCATCAACTCCTGCCAGTTCTTACTAGTGAACCGGGTGTCTCTATCGCTAACTATAGACAGCGGAATCCCGTGTTCACTGACCCTATGATCAAAGAACTTCTGAACTACTAACTCTGTACGTGCCTCCGCAGGCAACGGAACAAAAACTGCATAGTTACTAAATCTATCTACTATGACCATGACTTGGCTCTTACTATGCCTACTCTTCACGCCGGTGTCCATGAAATCAATGGACACTGAATCTTCGGGCTGGTCAGGAATAGGCAGGGGTCTGAGAAGACCTAGAGGGGAACCCGTAGTAGTTTTATTCCTTTGGCAGACCTTACAACTGCGGACCACTCTATGCAGTCGGCCTTTATCCCTGGCCAAGTATACGCGCACATCAGATTGGCTAGAGTCTTTTGCCAACCGAAGTGTCCCTCTGTATTGTAACATTCCCCTAAGATCAGGCTACGAATCTCTTCACTGTTGGGGACGCACAAGCGGTCTACTACATCAGTCTTCTCAAATAACAAACCCTATGTAGTGCGGTAATGTGGTTCAGTCTCTAGGGCCTCCTTAACTCTTTTGAGGAGGTCGCTATAGATAGGGTCCTGCGCATACCCCTCTCTAACTTTCTGTTGCAGGTCTTTCCCTATATCCAGATAATGGACTATCGCTCCAAAGTAGTATGACCTCCTACTCAGAGCGTCCGCAACTAAATTATACTTTCCTTTTACTGGCTTGAGCTCAAAATCATATTGGTCTATTTTTGCGGCCCACCTAGTCAACTTAGGTGTCATCTTGGCCTGTGTCTTCAGCCACCTCAGAGTCTCGTGGTCTGAATACACCTTGAAGTGCCTCCCAAGCAAGTAATGCTTCCAATGTTATAACGCTTGCCTGAGAGCGTAGAGTTCCCTCTCGTAGGTGGAGGTCGCTACCTTCTCTGAAGGCATCCTAGCAGACATGAACTCTACGGGTCTATATCCGTTGCCATCGTCTTGTTGTAGTACAACACCTATGCAATACTGGCTTGCGTCAGTGGTAACAATGAAAGGTAAAGACGGATCGGCAACCTTAAGGACTGGATACTTTATCAACGCCTGCTTCAACTTCTTCATGGCAGACGTGCAGTCCTTATCCCACTTCCAGATTGTTTCTTTCTTCATCAATCTGCGAAGGGGTGCAGCGATGGTAGAGAAGTTTCTCACAAACTTCCTATAGTAGTTTGCTCGGCCTAAGAACGATCGCAACTCTGTCAGCGTGCGGGGCGTTGGCCAATCCCTAATCACTGCGATTTTGCTATCCTCTGGCTTAATGCCGTCTCCGTCTAAGACGTGGCCGAAGTACAAAACTTGGGTCTTTGCCCATTCGCACTTCTTGGGGTTGATCTTGAAGTTAGCCTCTCTCAGCTTCTCCAAGACCTGCCTCAGATGACCCTGGTGCTCTTGGAGGGTCTTGCTAAAAACTAGAATATCATCTAGATATACTACTACAAATCTATCTAACCACGGCCTAAACAGGTCATTCATACAACGCTGAAAAGTCGCTGGCGCGTTGGTTAGTCCAAAGGGCATGACTATAAACTCGTAGTGCCCATACCTAGTTCGAAATGCGGTCTTATACTGATCATCAGGATGGACCTCTATCTGATGATATCCGGACTTCAAATCTATCTCCGAAAAGTACTTGCAAACCCTGCACCCGGTCTAAAAGATCATGTATGCGGGGCAGCGGCTCAGCATTCTTTACCGTAATAGCATTGAGACCCCTATAGTTGATACACATCCTGAGATTTTCCTTCTATTTGGGGACAAATAGCACAGGTGCTCCAAATGGAGACGAACTGGGCCTAATCCAACCCTTCTCTAGGAGCTCGTCTAACTGCTTGCATAGCTCCTCCAACTCCCGTGGAGACATTCTATACAGCGCTCCCTTGGGAGTTTTACTACCAGGCTCAATCTCAATGCGATGCTGGATGGGCCGCGGTACTACTACTGTCGGCGGCTCAGCTAAATCCTTGAACTCTTCCAGCAGCTTGGCAATAGCTGGGTCAATGGGCTTCTTCTCCTTTAGGCTCAGTGACAGGCCTGACGTAAACTACGAAGACCTGTTCCTCTAATTTCTCCTCTTTCACCAATTGGGAAAACGCAGGTGCACTGAGACAGCAATGTGCCAGGGTGTTATCTACACCTGATGCGTGGAACAGACGGGCAGTCTTAACCTCGCTTGACGGGCTAGGGAGCCTACACTCATGCTCTCTCAAGTGGAGTGTGGCCCCTGCTGCCTCTCCCCAGTCCATACCTAGGACTATATCAAAAGGAAGGTCATCTTGTATGAGGAGAGTCGGGGAATGGAGAACCTTCTCCACTTTCCCATCTTTCTCTA